ATATCAATATCTGTTACCGTTTCGGAGTTACGGGGTGTTTTTCAAAAATATGCATTTTTAACAAATCGCTGCAACTTTTTTGCTATGGAAAATTTTGTATTTCTATGAAAACATTTCCAAAGCACCTTTTTACGTAGAATTCAATGGTTTAAGTATAATTTTTTTGAAATTAATAATTTAAGAGTTATCAACAGAAAAATTATTTTTTTATTTGGGACACCCTCTATATTTTTAATTCATTGAAAAGAATTTAAAATTACCTTTCCAAAAATATAGCACACTTGATATTTTGTTATAATCCCCTACGAAATACAGAATTTGTTAAAGTTCGCCACTTTTCACTAGTAGGCTTTGGACCCCTTATTGATGATGCCCTTAATGGAACTCGAAAACATATTTTCCAGCAAGACGACGCACCGCCTCTGAACGCTGAAGTTATCACCAAATTTTTGCAGCCAATTTCAAGAATAATTGAAAGCTAACGAAGATCCCAGCCGTTGGCCGTCGAGGCCGCCTGACTTAGTGCCCATGGATCTAATCCTATGGATATATTTGCGGAAGAATAAAGGTTCCTTATTATTCCGTATAATCTAGACAAGAATTAGAAATATTTAGCAGTTATGAGAGGGTATTTTTCACATCCACTGAGTTAATGAATTCCGCGAGAAATGTTCAAAATCTGTCTGTCCATAACAGAAGACAGTCGATATGTCGAAAACCTGTAGCAAAATCTTATATCCTGGTATTTTATGGTAGCAAAATCTTATGTCCTTATTTTTATTGTTATTAGATATAGTTTAAATGTGTTGATGTTAGTTAAATATATTTTAAATTGTTATAAAATTCTGCATCTCTCATAGCAAATATTATTTTCGTTTTAATTGATGCTCACAGCTAGAATTTTTTTGCATTACAGCCGGTGCCGTTCAAAGCCTACTTATTTAAAGCGGGCGAATTTTGATATACTCTATATCTCGAAGAGGAATCGAGCAAAATATCAAGTGTGTTATATTTTTAGAAAGGTAATTTTAAGTTCTTTTCAATAAATTAAAAATATACAGGGCGTCCCATTTAAAAAATCAAATTTTCTGTTGATAATTCTTAAATTATTAATTTAAAAAAAACTATACTTAAACCATTAAATTCTACGTAAAAAGGTGCTTTGGAAATGTTTTCATAAAAATACAAAATTTTCCATAATAAAAAAGTTACAGCGATTTGTTAAAAATGCATATTTTTGAAAAACACCCCGTAACTCCGAAACGGTTACAGATATCGATATGCGGTTTTCACCATCATGTTTTTGACAAAAATTGAGCTCCAGACACCAATATTATATTTTGTCTATCTCCTATAGAAAAGGGTGTTTCCATTTAAAAGCGCCGAATTTGACCCACCCTGTACACTTTCATAATTCGGTGGGAGTTTCAATTTAATATTATTTTCATTAAAAATCTCAATTTGTTATCCATTTTACTTTGGAAAACCATCCCTTGCTTTCTGATTGATGAACTGCACCACCATTGAACGAAAATTAGTTAGTAACGAAAGAACAAAAGAAACCGGAAAATCCCGGTTCCTAAGAGGCGCGGTACCGAAATTCTCGGTTCCAAAAAACAGCTCCGGTTCCGGAAACAATAGTTCTCAACGCTTAGATTGAAATTAGGGGAACCAACTTCTATGCTAACTGAAACAACTAGTTTATTCCACTAACTTCTGAATGAAGCTTGGTCTCTCCAGTGAAAAGAAAATACAATTTTAACAGAAAATTCCTTTTCAAAGTATACATTTGAATTAAAATGGAAGGCATTGTATTGTTATACAGGGTTGTTCACCACATACGACACGGAGTATTGTCGCTAAACGATTAGATTTTTACAAATTGTAAGTTTTGGGTTCGTTGAAGGTCTATTAGAGCTACAATTTAAAAATATTTTTACAAGATACAGAGTGTCCCAAATAAGTAAAAAATATTATAGTTGTATTTTTTTAAATGGAACACCTTGTATATTATTCTATTTTTGGATTCTACGATTGAAATAAAGGTAAATTTGATTAAGGTTTATCACACTTAAATCTTACGGTTTTTGAAATATTTTCAATTTTATGAAATTGCAGAAAAAAATTTAAGGCTTTATTTCTCCAAAGGTATCAAAGTTTTTAATACTAAATATTTACTGAATATTTATTGATCAGATATTGTGTTGCAATAATAAAAATTTTACTACCTTATACAGAGTGTCCAAAAATTTATATTAAATAATTACTAGCTTTAAACGGCAATAACTTGTTTAATTTAAATGGAACACCCTATATATTTTACGTGAATCAGATGCACAATGTAATTGTCTATCAAATTGTATTGTTCCATTTTTTACCCATCTCTTCAAGTTTTCATAGAAAATGCATTTTCTATGAAAACTTGATTTAGACCTCATTGATCACTATACCCATGGAACATTCACATTTTAGCTTATTTTTAAAGATGTAACAAATTTTCAAAGGGTACAGATACTAATATTGTCGATAGACTTCGCTTATATAATTAAAAAATTTAAAAAAAAACTGTTTAAATATTTTTTGTCAAAGAAGACCAATTAATATGATCCCAATATTCAAACTACATTAATTGATTGTTTACGTTGTAGTAATAATTGCTCCAAATACTAAAAAACTGAATTTTGTGTGTGTATTAGACAGTGTGGTAAAAAGTACTACCTTATAAATTTTAATTCATTTGTTGACGCATGCTTATTTATAAAAACAGAGACATTCATGTTCATATCTTATTATTATAATGATTTCTGAGCCAAATCCACATTTATTTAGAATAATTTATCAATTAAAACAATTTAAAAGCATGTAATTTACTAATTTTTGGTGTTTTTGTTAGGAAATAATGGTGGTATATTTAATTGGTTGCGAGTAATATTTAATTGGTTGGTATAGTAAACGCCACGAATGTTTGGGAGTGATTTATCGGTCGCTACCATGTGAACTAATCTGTTCAAGGTCACATAAAACTTAACTCCAGTGCCGTGGTGTTTCAAGTCATATAATAATCAATCTTTGAATGAGAAGACTAAGGAAGGAGCATATCAAAAATCTTAGGTATACCGCGATGGGCCTCAAATATGGCCGACTTAAATTCCGGTTTATCAGTGCCGTTCTAATTTTATTTTAAAAATGTAAAACTATGATGTAGGGTAGACGTGGGGTAGACTCAATAATTTGTTATTTTATTTTACGTTGTGAATAAATGTTGGTAGTCATTAAAATTGTTATAAAAATATATAATTCTAATAAAAATAGATAAGTTATAATAAGTATTTATTAACACAAACATCTGATGCGCTACTGAAGCAGTTAAGTCAAATTAACGTATCAAAATTCTTTGACATCTGATCTTTGACAAGTAGTAAATAAAAGTTCTAAAATGCAAGAAAATATATACTTTAGTTATTTTAAGTGAATTTCATAAATGATCGGTTTACTACACGTATGTATATTATATAATCACTTACTAGCGAAAAGTTGTTCCATTATTTCACTCAATTTTTGCCGAGATCTACCGCACGCTACACAACCAACTATTTTAGAGTCTTTTTCGATAAATCGTGATAATGTCACTGTTAATTTAAGTTCTGCCACAATTTTCATCTAGATTTACTACCTTTATACAACTATCAGTAGTAGAATAAATAATAAATAACATAAAATAAGCTCCGTAAAAACTGACAATTCCACAAAATTTCAAATCAAATTCAAATGTGTCAAATGAATCGTCAAACAGAACTGTCAAGGATCCCCACCCTAGAGAGCTTTTTCCGCCCACCATGCATGAATACATGGATAGCATTATGCTCCTTCCTTAGTCTTCTTATTCAAAGTAATCAATACATAATCTGTTGTAATTTGTTGTTTTAACTGTCAAAGTCTTGTCAAAACATATATTTGGTTATAAATATAAAATGGAATGCCCCATTGATCGCACTGCAAGCACACCAATGGACTGACGCACAAAAACGAATCAACCAAAGAAACGCGATATAGTATCGTCTTTGTCAATGGCGCTAACATTTTAGAATAAGTAGAAGGAGCGCAGGCAGATGATTTAAAGGCCGGGCTTTAAAAACCTACGTCTGCGGTAAAAATTTACGTTTTTAATGTAAAAATGATAGCGCGCGTGTCGATTCTAACTTCATCAAGCGATGAATCACTCCCAAACATTCGTGGCGTTTACTCTATACCCTTTTACAAAGATTTAAATAGTTTTTTTGTATGCCAATGGGCTTGCAATATTTACCACCTGTACGTTTTGTACATATTAGGGTGCTATAAAAAAATCTGAAATATCAATATTCCATGGGTATAGTGATAAATGAGGTCTAAATTATAAGAAAATGCATTTTCTAAACAAGTTATTGCCGTTTAAAGCTAGTAATTATTTAATATAAATTTTTGGACACTCTGTATAAGGTAGTAAATTTTTTATTATTGCAACACAATACCTGATCAATAAATAATCTTCAGTAAATATTTAGTATTAAAAACTTTGATACCCTGGGAGAAATAAAGCCTTAAATTTTTTACTACAAATTTATAAAATTGAAAATATTTCAAAAACGGTAAGGTTTAAGTGTGATAAACCTTAATCAAATTTACCTTTATTTCAATCGTAGAATCCAAAAATAGAATAATATATAGGGTGTTCCATTTAAAAAATACAACTATAATATTTTTTACTTATTTGGGACACTCTGTATCTTGTAAAAATATTTTTAAATTGTAGCTCTAATAGACCTTCAATGAACCCAAAACTTACAATTTGTAAAAATCTAATCGTTTAGCTACAATACTCCGTGTCGTATGTGGTGAACAACCCTGTATATTCTCCTTCTAAACAAAACAAATTCATTGCATTCTATAAACGTGCATTGAAAAACTTCTGCACATTGTATCTATAATGCGAGATTTAGGTTAATATTCCCTTCCATTAGGTACGAGAAATTAGTGGAATCGGAGGAAAAAAACTACCAAGAACAAAACAAACGTTTGCAAACGGAACACGCAAATCGAATGAAGGAGTGCGACGAGCGGGATGAGCAGGCCCAAGTGGAGAAAGAAAGGGCGATTAAGCACGCCAAAGAGGAATTTGACGATCAGTTACAGGTAAAAAAAGTTATATTGATCGTAAAAATAAAATATGATTGAAAAAATGGCGTCAGAGTTGGTTTGGCATTAAGATCGCATTCATTTTACATGTAAAATTGTAAAAAACATTGAAGATCATTATTTACAAGCCAACTTTTTTTTAAATGTTTTTTTTTAAGTTTTACAGGGTGGCCCGAACTGTAATCCGGAAACTTCGGCAACATATTTTGCAGATAAAAATAAGTAAAAGTGTTTGTATAAATGTCTGTCCTAAAATGCTTTGAAAATTTGTGTCTGGGAGTATTTGACATGAGAAATTTGATTTTGACGTCTACAGGGTTGTTCACCACATACGACACGGAGTATTGTAGCTAAATGATTAGATTTTTAGAAATTGTAAGTATTGGGTTCGTTGAAGGACTATTAGAGCTACAATTTAAAAATATTTTTACAAGATACACAGTGTCCCAAATAAATAAAAAATATCAAAGTTGTATTTTTTTAAATGAAACACCCTGTATATTATTACATTTTTAGTTTCTACGATTAAAATAAAGGTAAATTTGATTAAGGTTTACCGCACTTTGATCTTACCGTTTTTGAAATATTTTCAATTTTGTGAAATTGCAGTAAAAATTGTAAGGCTTCATTTCTCCAAGGGTATCAAAGTGTTTAATACTAAATATTTACTGAAGTCTACTTATTGGTCAGTTATTGTGTTGCAATAATAAAAATAATACTACCTCATACAGAGTGTCTAAAATTTATTTTAAATTATTTCTAGCTTTAAATGGCAATAACTTGTTTAATTTAAATGGAACGCCCTGTATATTTTAGGAGAAATTGAGATGCATACTATAATTGTCTATCAAATTGTATTATACCACTTTTTACATATCCCTTCAAGTTTTCGTAGAAAATGCATTTTCTTATAATTTAGACCTCATTTATCAATATATCCATGGAATATTGACATTTTAGATTGTTTTTAAAGCAACAAATGTACAAAATATTACCAGCCCATTTGTATGCAAAAAGAAAAATATTTAAATCTTTATAAAATAGTATACCATTAATTAAATATACCACCATTATTTCCGCCCAAATACTAATTAATTAATACTTAATTATGTCCGTTAATAAATTATTCTAAATAAATGTGGATTTGAGTCAGAAATCAATATAATAATAATTTATGAAAATGAATGTTTCTGTTGTTATAAATAAGTATTTGTCAAAAAATTAAATAGGTATCATTTTTAAGGTGTTACTTTTTACCACACTGTCTAATACACATACAAAATTCAGTTTTTTAGTATTTGGAGCAATTATTATTAATCAACGCAAACGGTTAATTAATGTAGTTTGAATACTGGAATCATATTAATTGGTCCTCTTCAACAAATATTTAAACAGTTTTTTTATTTCTTAATGAAATAAACAAGCTATATCGACAATATTAGTATCTGTACTCTTTAAAAATTTGGTATATCTTTAAAAATAATCTAAAATGTCAGTATTCCATGGGTATATTGATAAATGAGTTTTAAATTACAAGAAAATGTATTTTCTATGGAAACTTGAAGAGATAGGTAAAAAATAGTATAATACAATTTGATAGACTATTAAATTATGCATCTAATTCTCATAAAATATACAGGGTGTTCCATTTAAATTAAACGTTAGAAAGTTATTGCCGTTTAAAGCTAGTAATTATTTAAAATAAAATTTTAGACACTCTGTATGAGGTAGTATAATTTTTATTATTGCAACACAATCACTGATCAATAAGTAAACTTCAGTAAATATTTAGTATTAAAAACTTTGATACCCTTGGAGAAATGAAGCCTTAAAATATTGACTGCAATTTCACAAAATTGAAAATATTTCAAAAACGGTAAGATCAAAGTGCGGTAAACCTTAATCAAATTTACCTTTATTTTAATCGTAGAAACTAAAAATGTAATAATATACAGGGTGTTTCATTTAAAAATATATAACTTTGATATTTTTTATTTATTTGTGACACTGTATTTTGTAAAAATATTTTTAAATTGTAGCTCTAATAGTCCTTCAACGAACACAAAACTTACAATTTGTATAAATCTAATCGTTTAGCTACAATACTCCGTGTCGTATGTGGTGAACAACCCTGTATATGACCCCTCTTTGTAGGGGGCGTCACTTACATGTGTTTTAACTGTTTTGAAGAGTGGTAACTTTTCGTCCGTACTTGTATAAAACCACCGAGTGAAGAAATATATATTTTCGTGATTTTTTACGTAAAAAATGTCTTTTGGTAAAAATCGCTACGAGCAACCGTTCTCAAGATATTTAGAATGGAAATCGCGTCAATTCACGTCATTATTGACAAAAAATAAAAATGCCGAGTAGATAGTTATTTGACCGAAATGATAAATTTGGGAACTTTTTATTCTTTTAAATTAATCATAAATTTTTCTTTGAAAACAATGATGATAAAACAGTTTCTGTTGGACTTTTGGCACAATAAGATTCCAAATTTATGATTCCAGTATAATACATAACTATTTAGTAAACATGTTTAATTTATGTCATTGACGACAGATATTGACAATTTGGATTCAGAATATCTTGAAAACCATTACTCGTAGCGATTTTTATCAAAAGACTTTTTCTACGTAAAAAACGTCGTAAATGTATATTTTTTTACTCGGTAGTTTTATACAGGTAGGGACGAAAAGTTATTACTCTACAAGCTAGTTAAAAATATGTAGGTGGCGCCCTTTACAAGTAGGTATCATGTTGACATCAAAATCAAATTTCTCTTGTCCAAAAACTCCCAGACACCAATTTTCATTCAAATTTTGACTTACTTCAGAAATTATTTACAAAAAATTTGAAATAAAAATGAAACTTCTACACCCTGTATCTCCAAAACTAAGCACTTTAGGACATACATTTATACGAACGTTTTTACTTATTTTAATCAACAGAATATGCTGCCAAAGTTTCCGGAATACAGTTCGTACCACCCTGTATATATTGTCTTGTATTACTTTCCTAAAGGAGCTTTACAATCTTAAAAATGCATAATTCATTTTTCAGACCTTACCTAGGGATTCCCCAGATTTATTTCTTTTTAAAATTTTAATTAAAAAACTAATTGCAGGTAAACGTTAAGAAAAATGAAGGACTTCTTTACATAACACAAGTTTTATAAAACTTTAGACATCTATTGGATATGAACTTTCTACATTTTTGTTACTACAACTAGATATAGAATTTAAAATACACTACTCAAAACAATTATCGCATATTTGAATAAAAGTAATTATTACATATTTCTAAATGAAGCATGCATTTTTCTGCCTTTCTATTGTGAGTTTTCTTAGGATAATTAGGGTACGCACTGACATGTAATTTTTAGTCGGCCAACTATTTAGTTGCAAAAGTGAAAACAATACATTTTTATGGAGCCGATATCGGCCCAATATTTGATTACATTGTAAACAAAAAAAATGCGAGTACGTTAGAATTTTAGTCATGGACGTATTAGAATTATTCTTAGTTAAGCAGACTAAATATTTGAATCGCATTGGTTATTAGCTTGGATTATAGGCAAAATATACATTTCTGCATATTTTGTATATTTAGTACAAACCTGAATTAAATTGAACATTTCAATGTATTTTAGCGTAAGAAAAGATAAATAAAAATTAGATATCAATTTGTCTTTATTTTCAGGTGGTTATTCGTCGACATTCTAATGAACTGAAGCTTTTGAAGGAAGCGACGCGTCTCGAATTCGAAACGTGGAAGGCCAATTTTAATAAGAACCAAGCGACGGCCTTAATAGAAAAAGAGGCCGCCATCAGAGAACAGCACAGAAAGGAACGGGATCAGGAGATCGAAAAAGTAATTGAAAGACTGGAGAGGGAAGCGGGAGAGACGAAATGTCAGATAGAACAAAGCACCGAGAACCGAATTAGGTGTATATTTATTATTAACATAAAATTTTGTCTGAGTTAATTTAAAGCAAGCATTATATGAACAGGTTGTAATATAACAACCCATTTTTTACTTTGTCGGTTTGTTTTTATTTATCCAGATTGTTTCAAAAAACATGTGCCATCTCTCCTGAGGAAATTCCTCACGTCAAATTAAGATTTATTTTTCATATCAACATAGGTTCGATTCTGCTTTGTTTCGTAGCTACATGGTGTTAAAGTCTTAATAATCTTTCGGTTTATCTATAGTCTATATAATATAATATAATATTTTTTCGATTTATTATAATTTTCTTATAAGTACTTTTAGCGATTCAAATGAAATTTTGAGGGTTAAGTTACTATTGGTGCTACATATTTTAATGGCTAAAATAGTGTCCATAGATTTATCAGGGACGTGTATATGGGTTATCACTAGAACATTTAAAAAAAAAACATGTGCGCCACTGACCTTTTTTTTTATACCAATATTGTATAGGCCGCGGCCGTTTAATGCCAATTAAAAGTTGTATCTTGTTATTTTGTCGATTTTGATCTCCTTGATGAGATAAACGCAATTTTATTAATTACATTTAATAATATTACAATAAAAATAAAATTAACAAATTATTTATTTTATCTAATTTATTATTAAATATTATTACTATTCGTTCAAGTTACAGCAAATTGAAATAAAAAATAATGGAATTTTAAGACAATTACACAAGGCCTAAATTTAAAAAGTTTTAACATCCTGTAATTTTAAAACTATGCATTTTCATACTCATGTTTATAGGAACTTTTTTTCATATTTTTTGATCGGGAATCAATGATGTTATTTAAAACTTTTGCAAGTTAATGATATTATTTTTTTTAAAATTGCTATTAGACTTGGACCAAAGCAAATTAATAAAATTGGTAATTAATCGGTATTAAACGGCTTACCCTATTTCGCCAACAAGTGAAAAAAAGTCAGTGGCGTACATTTTTTTTAGAAAAATATTCCAGTGATAACCCATATGCACGTCCCTGGTGTATATTTCGATACATTTTTAGCATTAAAATATGTCTCATTTATAGTAACTTTTACCCTGAAAATTTCATTGGAATCTCTAAAAGTATTTGGAAGAAAATTATAATAAAGTGAACAAATATTAAGACTAACCTAACCTAACACACTGTAGCCACGAAACAAAGCAGAATTGGAATAAACCTTATTTTTACGTTAGGAATCTCCCCACGAGAGATGGCCCATAAATTTTTAATCACCCTGTATATTTTACGTTATTAATTATCTACACTCAGATGCAAAAAAACGCAACGGAAAAATTTTCCTTCAAATTTAAAATGTTATATTTTTCTTATTTTTAGCCCAATTTTCATGATTTTTTTGGTAAACTGTATATAAATATATCAACTTGAATTTATAAACTCAGTTTTTCATAAACTTTAGTATTGGGCTTTATTATACAGGGTTTACCGAATGGTTGTTTTTTTCCTTAACTTTAAAACACCCTGTGCAATAATTTCGTGAACAGATTTTCCTAGAATTTTATTTTTCTGTCAGAACCATCTTTCCTGTTTATTTTGTTTTTTATCTCATGACAACACATGTCTTGGTTAATTTTTAAGAGCGAAATGAACTTGCCACCAACAATTTGTAATTTTTTCAATTATCATTACTTTTTGATGTTATTTTTCAATACGCCCGGGTTTTGGTGACTTTGTCGTAATATCATATTATGCTGCATTGGATACTCTATACCAAATAAAAAACAATACAGTCCTGATTTTAATAAACATTAATAAAGATAATAGAACTAACTATGATTAAAGTAGGTAATCATCAAGTATATAAACAGAAAAAAAAATCTAAAAAATACCCTATTACTTTGTATTGCCTCTTTGTATTGGCTGCTATAACTGCCTGTAGACGTCCGTTCATACTGTCAATGAGGTTGTATATATCATATTTATGTTTTCTCATTCTTCTTTAAGGACCAAGCGAAGTTCATTTAATGAAACTGGTGCCCGCTTCGCGACCTCTAACCCTCCTGCCAAGCATTTCCCAAATGTGTTCTATAGGGTTCAGATCTGTCGAACATGCTCGGCAGTTCATAATAGTATCTAATTCATAATAATCACTAAAATCATGCACATCATCAGATTGAAAAATAACATCAAAAATATTGTTAATTGAAGAAATTGCAAATTGTAGGTTGCAAGTTCATTTCGCTCTTAAAAGTTAACAAAGGCATGTATTGACATGATCCAAAAAATAATGTATGCCGAGGAGACGTGGTTCTGATCGAAAAATAGTATTTTAGGAAAATTTGCTTACGAAATTATTGCACAGGGTGTTTTAAAGTTAGGGTAAATAACAACCCTTCGGTTAACCCTGTATAATAAGCCAATTATTAAAATTTATAAAAAAACTGAGTTTACAAATTAAAGTTCATATATTTATATACAGTGTGCTAAAAATTTCATGATAATAGGACTAAAAATATGAAAAATATAACACTTTAAATTGGACAAAAACATTTTCCGTTGCGTTTTCTTGCATCTGGGTGTAGTTGACACGATCCTCTATTTCTAAATATTTATGCTACTTTTAGTAGTTAAAAGGCTTATTGTAATAACATGATATGCCACAAATCCATAATTCTGAATTATTAGACTTCGCAGATTTAAAAAAGTGTGAAAATTTACTTATTAATAAAATATAAATTTAGAGAGGTTTTAGAGTTAGTTTAGTTTAACTCGCTAAATATTTATCTAACAAATTTGTTGGATAAAAAGCAAGAAAAACACTAGTTACTAGTTAATAAAACTGATTTCTGGTTGAGTGGCTTATCATGTTATTACAATAAGCATTACAATTCATATCATAATTTTAAAAATTATGAGACACATTTCTTTATAATTTAAATACTATTTGATATATTTTAAAGACAAAGAATGATCAAAATACTTATGCATTTTGTTTGGGATATTTGTTTGCCATAGAGCACAACAAATTATAAATATCTAAAAAATAATTATGCTTTTGTAGATTAAGGTTGTTAATTCAAATAATGGAAAATCATATTTTATTTTGAAGTTTATAAGTAATATTATAAATTATCCGAATTGAGAATTTTCGAAAATATTTTTTTAGAGCATAGAATTAAAATGTTTTTATCGAGGTTTTTATGTATTTTGTTCGAAATTATGTTATAAAAAAACATCTTATTGAACTTTTATTTTTTCAATTTCTAAGAAATTAAGCTTCATTTAGAACCTCGCAATTAGTGGAATAAATTAGTGGTTTCAATTATTAGCGTAGAAGTTTGTTCCTCTAATATCAATGTAAGCATTTACAACGTCAAAAGTAGTAGTAGGAATTTTCTATTAGTGGAAAAACTTACCAAACTTTTAACTTTTCCACTAATTGTACTTCAAAATTTGCGAAGAATGTCATTTTGATTTTTGATTATCATCCGCCAAGAGAAAATGTGGTTAGAAATCAAAAGTTTATTGTTTTATAAGTTAAATATTATAGTCTAAGAGCTAGCAACGTTTTCGAGAAAGTATTTTAAGACGTCTGGCTCTTTGATATATCTTTTATTATGCTCTCTGGAACAGCGTGCAAGCCGTCTGGCTGCCGATACACGTTGCGTTCACTACTGCGTATCCAAAGAAGATCCTCTATTTTTTACTTAGCGGTTTAAATTCTAGTATTGAATAAAAACCGAGCAAGTCTCCATTAGCTCGGCGCGTAGAGCTTTTGCCTATGAAGCGAAGGTCAGTGGTTCGATTCCGGCTAGGGTTGCAACTTTTTTATTTTTTTTTCGTTTATATTCTGATAGTAAAGTATTAAATATTTGCGTTTTTATCACCAGAACGGATAGCGTTTATGGGTTTATGATCCGTAGTGTATATAAGTAAAATTTGATACTTTCATTTGTTTTGAAGGATTATTGTGGTAATTAATTATTAGATAGGTTTAGGATGGTCTGGCTGCCGCGCCGGTAGGTGGCGTTCACTACTGCGCATCACATGGGTACAGGGTGTCTCATTTTCGTGCGTTTTGGGATATCTGGGATTTCTCGTTTATGAGTGGAGATACAATGATGCGTTTTTTTTTTCACATTACTTGGCTAGTTTTTTATGTAACTAAATATTTTACCCCTAGATTTGTGCATTTTCTATACATTAACATTAATCAATCTTGTTTAGAAAGTATTATTATTTTATTTAATTTAATTCAACCAGATAATTTTGTTTTTCATCGTTATCTTAACAAACTGAACTGAAAATAAACTTGTGTAGCTTTTAGATAACAATCTGTTAAAAAAAGTATTATTAAAATAATAAACAACAGCTGAAAAAAAATTTGAAGAAAGACAGGCAGAAATTACCTTAATAAAGCATTAAAATGTTAATTTTTATATATTATGTTGAAATCTTTAAAATAAAATTATAAACGAGAAATCCCAAAAAACGCACAAAAATGGGACACCCTGTACACATGTGATGCGCAGTAATGAACGCAACCTACCGGCGCGGCAGCCAGACCATCCTAAACCTGCCTAATAATTAATTACTACAATAATCCTTCAAAACAAATGAAAGTATCAAATTCTACTTATACCCACTACGGATCATAAACCCATAAGCGCCATCCGTTCTGGTGATAAAAAAGCAAATATTTAATACTTTACTATCAGAATATAAACGAAAAAAAAAATAAAAAAGTTACACCCCCAGCCGGTATCGAACCATTGACCTTCGCGTCATAGGCGAAAGCTCTACGCGCCGAGCTAATGGAGAATTGCTCGATTTTTATTCAATACTAGAATTTAAAGCGCTAAGTAAAAAATAGAGGATCTTCTTTGGATGCGCAGTAGTAAACGCAACGGGTATCGGCAGCCAGACGGGCCGCATGCTGTTCCAGAGAGCATAATAAATCTTAGTTAAAATACTTGTTTTCCCGACGTTGCTAGCTCTCGTACTATTAGGCTTTCTCTATGGATACAAATGATTACCGCAAGTTGTTGCTAGGATATTCTGTTAATTTTAATTGTGTTTTTTAGACATCGTTAATGATCGTAAACTAAAAAGTATGAAGTGTGATTGAAACCATTAATTTATTCCACTAATTGGGAGGTTTCGAAAGAAGCTTTAACATTACTAATTAATTTCCTATAGTTCATTATAATAAGAGAAAAATATCAATCAGAAATAATTTATTCTATAGCCGACTGAAAGAAAAATACGAAAAAGAAATACAGGATCTGGAGACCTCCGAAAAGGAAGCGAAAAATAAATATTTAGAAACTAAGACCAAACTAATTGAAAACGAAGAAGTTATAATTGGCCTCCAGGCTAGTCTGAAACAATTGGAAACTCAACTGAACGAATATAAGCAGGTTCGTACAGATCTCGTAGATACATTTTCAACACAACCATGCCTAAACTTCTTTAATTAAAACATTTCGTTATTACTGTTTAATTAGAATACGTTGGTTCAAAGAACTCAATTTGAACCTTGAAATTATTTAATAAAGCAATTTTGCTATTTCAAAAAACATGTTGTGGAAAACACTTAAATTTATAGATCATTAATTAAATTTGATTGACCTTTGATAGAATTATATTACTAAGTACAAAGAAAATAGATGCAATATAGTCAAGTCTATTTCATTCACATAATATATGTAGTATTTTATATAGACAGAATGGATGTAGTTATTTCAGCAAAAAAAAATACTGGTGATTTTATTCTTTGAATAAATATATTAAGGAAGGAGTATAAAGGTTGATTCTCACTATACCTTCCGTTTCCATGCCATATCCATTCCATATCCGTTCCGTATTTTTTTATTGATTTGACGCTATACGTAAGCTTCCGTTCCGTATCAATTCCATACTTTTTATTGTACAATTTATATCATTACGAAAGTTTTGTTTTAAAAATTTGTATCTTTTGAAAAAGATAATAGATTTAATTAAGAGGTGAAAGAATAAATAAATATCAGCAAAATTTTAACAGAACTGGTACAAATGTAAAAACTTGACAACGCTGTTTCCGAAACGCTTCAGTCCGTCCGCCAAAAAAATGTATGGAAGGAAAGAATATGGAACGGAAGGGAAACGGAACGGATAGTGTGCATTGTCTTATTCATTTACATGATATAATATTTTATGTAAACGGAGGGGAAACGGATGGGAGCTGATATGGAAGGTATAGTGAGAATCAACCTTAATGCTTCCTACCCTAGTTGGGGACCTAGGGTAGGAACCGTTGACAGTTCTGTTTGACAATTCATTTGACACATTTGAATTTGATTTGAAATTATAATTTATTTTATGTTATTTATAATTTTTTATACAGCTCGAATTAGTTTAGGGGTAGTAAATCTAGAAGGAAGTTGGCGGCTGAACTTAAATTAACAGTGGCATATTGCGATAGATTGCGATTTATCGAAAAACACTGTAAAATAATTGGTTTGGTTTGGGTTAGTTATTTTTAATCCAAGATATTTATATTTGTCACAGTTTTTTATCACGCTTTTTTATCACGCTTCCATCCTCTAAGACTATGTTCTCTTGTGGCCCCCCTACAGTCATACTGTCAAGAAAAATGGCGCATCCGCCAGAAATTAAAAATGTATTACTGGTTGCCTGCACAACCGCAACGTATCCGCCAGAAATTAAAAGACTTTTTCAGGCGCCATCTTTTAGTCAAGTCGAGAAGTAAGGGAATCAGACAATAGAATTGTCTGGTATGAAGAAGTACGCTTTCCGAGAGAATTGGGGAAATTTCGAGAAGCAGTCAATAGAGTATATAAGCCGGAGCCATCGACAACTGAGACAGTTTTTTGAAATTTGAATATACTGGGTGGAAATGGAAAAATCGGACAATTTGGTGAAGGAATCTATAAATAGTTAGTTTGTTGTGTGTATGCAGGTTAGTAATTGTGTATAAAGTGAGAAAATAAATTCGTTAAGTATTTTATCGTGAGTTTAAATTAGTGGACCCACGGAATCTTGTAAAATCGAATTGGTGTCAGAAGTGGATTCAAGAGGATTTAAGAAGAAATTAAGTGGATTGGAAGATTTTTAGACCGGATTAGAGTATTTTTATGGTTGGTACAAGGAAACAAGCGAAGAAAATGGAGGAAGTAAGCAAAACTATTAGGGCGATTTTATGGAGAATATGAGAAGAGAAAAGGCAGAAGAACAAGAGAAGCTGCGAAAAGAGAAAGCAGAAGAACAAGACCGCCTACTGAAAATTTAGAAAATCAAGACAAAATTTTCGAAGATTTGAAAATTCAACGACAACAAGACAAAGAAGAAGAACAGGACCGGCTTGAGAAAATTTTTAGAAGATATGAAAATTCAACGACTACAAGACAAAGAAGAAGTAACAGGCCCGGCTTGAGAAAATTTTTGAAGGCAATTTAGAAAGGCGTCAGAAGAATGAATGGAGGGGAAATTTTAGAAGATATAGAAACGCGCCGCCAAAAAAAGAAAGACAAGAAGATCAGACCGTCTTAAGAAAACTTAGAAAATCAGGAATTTTGACTAAGGAAGAATTTTGAAGACCTGAAAACGATAGGAGAACCATTTCCAAGAAGTCGTAGAAGATCTGGAAGAACGTCAGCAGAAAATGGAAAATTAGAGATGAGACCTACAGAAGACCAAGGTACAAGCAAGGACACCTGGCGTCTCTTGAACTGCAAACCTCAAGGCCCTGACCCATGATGGACAAACTACTTGGACAATGTACCACCGCCAGTTTGAAGCAGCCGCTGCTGCCAACGGATGGACCGGACCAGGAGAAAGCAGCGGCACTCGTCATAGCGCTGCGTGGCCCTGCCCTGAATTGCTACAAACTATTCCCGCAGCCCAACAGCAGGAATACGAAACATTAGTTAAGCTGCATTGACAGAAGATATGGCGACCAACATCGACGCCAACTTTACCAGGCCCAGATCAAGACACGCCTGCAGAGTGTCCGGAGAGAGTTCCGGTAGAGGAATTTGAAGCAGATCTCTTGACGACGGCTGGTACACCTGGCATTCCAGAAGCACCGGAAGGATTTAGGGAGGAACTCGCTGCTCAGTGCTTTATCAGCGGACTGAGGGACAACGAATTAGAGAGGGCGCTGCAAATATCCCGATTTTCTACCAGCAGCGAAGCACTGGTCAGGGCGCTGGAAATCGAAGCTGCTTTTAGCGCCATCCCTAGACCGAAGATAAGATCGGTACGGTAGAGGAACAGCCCGAGAGTACCCACAGAAGTTTGGAGGAGATGTGTAGAAAATTCGACAAACTATGTGAGCTACTAATAAACAAGGGAATCAACAATAACCAGACAGAGAACCAGAGAAGATCCCAGGACATAAGGTGCTATAGATGTGGCAGGAATGGCCACATCAAACGGGATTGCCGCGTTCATGCGATCCCGTTCAGCATCCAGAGAACGTAGGCACCAGGAAAACTAAAATCAGTCAATACTAAGGGGCGAGTATTGACTGGGGAGAACAGAGCCCCCAGGATTTTTTCCATTAGGAGTCTAGGAACAACCGCTGACAGCTTGGTGATCGACGGGAAAGTCAATGGAAAGGGAATTCGAATGACTGTGGATACTGGCGCTATGGTATCGTTGGTGCGGGCTAACTCAGTGCAAGGATTGAAGCTGATGTCTCTGGGAAGAAGAGTGTGTTTACGTACAGTTACGGGGGAAATGGCCGTTGCACGGGGAAAGGCTATCGTCGAACTGAAGTTAGGAAATTTGAAGTTTCAGCATAGCGTCTTAGTGGCAGATATTGAAGATGACTTCATCTTGGGCATGGATATGATTCGTCAACATGGATTTTCGTTCGATCACCAGAGAAATATCTTAAATATTGGATATGAAGAGTTCATGTTATCTCCAGACGAGGGACCAGGCAGAATGGATGTAAGATCAGCGGAAACTGTGGTGATACCTGGTAATACCGAGAAGATCGTATTCGGTAAAGTGGAGAAAATCGCTGGGTGCTGTGTTGGACTGGTAAAAAGTGGCGACAAGAAACAAGATAGGTACTTAGTAGGAAAGTCATTGGTGAACACCGACAAGAATATACCGATCAGAATTGCGAATGTTTTCCCGAATTGTGTCAAGATTCAAAAAGGTGACAAGATAGCCATCTGCGAACCTGTAAGAAGTGTCACCCGATGTGATGAAGTGTCGTCAGCTGTTACACAAATGGCATCCAAAGAAACACTAAAACATCTAGAACAGCCATGGGTCACCTAACACCTGAGGAGAAACAGAAGGCTAAGCAGTTTCTGCTAAAGCATGGCAGTATTTTTGAGAAGTACAACAGTGGAAGAACGGATTTTGTGAAGCACCGGATTAATACTGGTCATGCTCAGCCGATTCGACAACGTCCTAGAAGGGTGCCCCTTTCCAAACAACAAGAAATGGAGACAATGGTAGATAAGATGTTAGAAGATGGAGTAATCGAAGAATCATCAAGTCCATGGTTATGGACTGTTATTTTGGTGACGAAGAAAGATGGTAGTACACGATTCTGCGTGGACTGTAGGAAGCTCAATGACGTCACTAAGAAAGATAGCTACCCACTGCCACGTATAGATGACACATTAACAACTCTGGCAGGTTCGTGCTGGTTCTCCACTCTCGACTTAAAGAGTGGATACTGGCAAGTTGGGGTCTGGACGAGGGCGATAAAGAAAAGACGGCTTTTTCTACAGGAAACGGACTATACCAATTCAAGGTCATGCCGTTTGGATTATAATGCTCCAGCCACTTTCGAACGTCTTATGGAGGTGGTGTTAGAGGATTAACTTGGAAAACGTGCTTGGTTTACCTCGACGATGTATTGGTTATGGGAAGAACTTTTGAAGAGCATTTGCGAAATTTAGAAGATGTCTTCGGCCGCATACGGAATGCTCACCTGTACTTGAACCCGAAGAAGTGTAGTTTATTCCAGCGACAAGTGGAATTCTTGGGTCATGTAGTCTCAGCAGACGGAATTTACACCGACCAGAAGAAAATCGCTGCAATCAAGGATTGGCCTAAACCTCGCGACAAACATGAACTTAGAAGTTTTCTGGGTTTATGCACATATTACAGAAGATTTGTCAAGGGATTTGCCAACATAGCTGCACCTTTACATAAACTTACAGGTGATGAAGTCGGCTACGAATGGAACACCGATTGTGATGTAGCCTTTGGAAGACTTAAGACGGCTTTATGTTCAAGTCCTATTCTAGCCTACCCACAACAACAAAGGAGGTATATCCTGGACACAGATGCCAGCAACATCGGCATAGGTGCAGTGCTATCACAAGTGCAAGATGGCGAAGAACGAGTGATAGAATATTACAGTCGAGTTCTATCCAAACCAGAAAGGAATTACTGCGTTACCCGGAAGGAGCTGCTAGCAATTGTAAAAGCAGTTGATCATTTTCATAAATATCTGTACGGCCAAGAATTTTTAATTAGGACAGATCATGCGGCTCTCAAGTGGCTTATGGAGATGAAACAACCTGAAGGTCAAATAGCACGATGGCTCGAGAAGCTCCAACAGTATCACTTTACCATCCAACATCGTGCTGGAAAAATGCATGGTAACGCAGACGGTTTATCCAGAAGACCCTGTCAAACTGATTGTAAGCACTGCTGTAAAACGGAACAACGTGAAGGCACTGTCATCATAAGGAGTTTTTGCTTGGAACCGATGAACAGTGGACGACGACACAATTGAGGAAAGATCAAATGGAAGATCCAGACATCGGAGCAATACTACGGCTCAAGGAGGGTAACGGCGAGAGACCATCGTGGCAGGAAATTGCGGACAGAGGGCTGATTTTCAAAGCTCTCTGGGCTCAGTGGAATTCACTGGTGATTGAGAATGGATTGTTAAAGCGCACATGGGAAAGTGCGGATGGCAGCACAGTAACAACTCAGTTACTGGTACCAAGGAAGAAAGTTACCCAGGTATTGGAAGAAATTCACGGTGGTAAAACTGGAGCCCATCTTGGGGTAAACAAGACCTTGAGCAAGCTGAGAGATCGCTTTTACTGGGTGGATTATTGCGAAGATGTCAAGAAATGGTGTCGACAATGTAAAATTTGTGCAGCCAGCCAAGGACCAAGCACTCGATCTAGGGGAAAAATGAAACAATATAACGTTGGACTGCCATTCGAAAGAATCGCTGTTGACATTGCAGGCCCATTCCCTGAAACGCACAAGGGCAACAAGTACGTTTTAGTGGCGATGGATTATTTCAGTAAATGGCCAGAAGTTTTTGCCATTCCAAACCAAGAAGCATCGACTGTAGCTGAAGTATTAGTCAATAATGTCTTCAGTAGATTTGGAATTCCTTTAGAGCTTCACACTGACCAAGGAAGGAACTTCGAGTCAAGACTGTTCCAGAAGATGTGTGATCTGCTTGGTATTCACAAGACTAGGACAACAGCTTTACATCCGCAGTCTGATGGGATGGTCGAGAGATTCAATAAGACCATTGAAGAACATCTCTCGAAAATGGTGGATGAACATCAAAGAGATTGGGATCAGCATATACCACTATTCCTAATGGCATATAGAAGTGCAGTTCACAACACCACCGGACTTTCACCATCGAAGATTTTATTTGGTCGAGAATTACGGTTGCCTTGTGACTTGGTGTTCGGATCACCAGACGACAGCACCACGAACGTAGAGGACTACGCGGATGAACTGAAGGAAAGGTTATTGGGAATTCATAAGGCCGTGAGAAGTAAGATTACGCTAGCCAGTGACCGGATGAAAGCTCGTTACGACCTCAGAGCTAATTCTACGGGATTTCAACAGGACGATATGGTATGGTTATATAACCCACAGCGCAAGAAAGGGAGGTCCCCAAAGTTAACTCCAGCATGGGAAGGTCCTTATACAGTCATCAAGAGGATAAATGATGTTGTGTACCGGATTCAACGCAGCCCTAGAAGTAAGATGAAAGTAGTTCATCTGGATCGATTGAAGAGATACCAGACAGGAAACCTTAGATCGGGACGATCAAATTTGAGAAGGGGGCAATGTCAAGAAAATGGCGCATCCGCCAGAAATTAAAAAATGTATTACTGGTTGCCTGCACAACCGCAACGTATCCGCCAGAAATTAAAAAGACTTTTTTTCAGGCGCCATCTTTTTAGTCAAGTCGAGAAGTAAGGGAATCAGACAATAGAATTGTCTGGTATGAAGAAATACGCTTTCCGAGAATTGGGGAAATTTCGAGAAGCAGTCAATAGAGTATATAAGCCGGAGCCATCGACAACTGAGACAGTTTTTGAAATTTGAATATACCGCGTGGAAATTGAAAATCGGACAATTTGGTGAAGGAATCTTATAAATAGTTAGTTTGTTGTGTGTTATAAGTTAGTAATTGTGTATAAAGTGAGAAAATAAATTCGTTAAGTATTTTATCGTGAGTTTAAATTAGTGGACCCACGGAATCCGTAACAATACATTCAATTTTGGTGATATTTACCTACAACCCCTATTTCTTATACTCCTGTATCAGCTTCCTTGCCATATATTCAAGGTCGTCGTGATATTGGGCTAGGACTATCTGGTCGTCCGCAAAAAATATGGTGTACAGGGTGTCCACAATTTTAATAAATGCCAGCATGTATTGACAACGTAAAATAAAACAACAAATTATTGAGTCTACTCTACATCATAATTTTTACATGTTTTGGATTAAATTAGAACGGCACTGATAACCCGGAATTTAAGTCGGCCATTTTTGGTCCCCATCGCGCTCAACCTAAGTTTTTTGTTATGCTCTTTCCTAAATCTTTTTATTCAAAGAATAATACTAAATTTTTATTTCAAAGAACCGAAATAACTAGAAATTATGATCATCGTTCATCTTTATTAATGGGTCAGTTTCTTTCGTTAGGCCGCTATAAATTTTAATACATCGAAAATAAAATAGTAATTGGCCCAAATAAATACAAATTACTAATTAGCATTGATTTATTCCGTTCAATAGCAAACTGAAAACTTTAACAAAGAACGCGCCGAGATGAAAGAAATATTAAGGCAAGAAATGAAAAAGGAAATGGAAGCTTTGGAAAAGGAAGTTGCGCAGCTAAAAAATAACAGAGACAAAGAAATACAACAGTTGTATTCAAGGTAAGTTTTTGTTTATAAGGTGTAATTTCAACATTAAATTCAGTAATATTATAATGTCAATTATTTTTAATGTGTTTTAAGTATATAAGACTAAACTATTTATTATTGAAAATATAATACTAGATAATGAAACCAATAAACAATCATATTGCTGTATGTTTTGTCGAATATCGATAAAACTTTTAAGAAGAATTGCTTTTGCATTTTGGTTCGTGTTATTAGTTTAGTTTTGTGTTGTTTGAAGCGGTGTGTAGTGACCTGGGTCTACAGTTAATTTTCCCCTTTGTGCCCTGGGGCACAGTTTATAGTTAATATATTCGGTGCCCAGAGAATTTTATACACCAATGAAGGTTGCCATCAGTAAATAACGACATCGCACGATAGATTTTAGCATTGCAGAAAGATAATGTCAAAAGATATAACGGAACACAAACGGACAAACGGACAAACGAACAATCGGAACACAAACAGGACGACAAAAAGTCCCAAAATTAGTATTCACAGTTTACATATCTAAATACCAATAACAATAATAATAACCAATTTTAAAATTATAATACTACTCTTAAAACTACATTTTTTTTCTATATAGAGGGTGTCCCAGAAATAAGTGCAAGTATTTTAAGGGGTGGTATAGATCTCGATAAAAGAAACGCATTTTCTCTTTATCGTTTTTCAAATAAGTCCAGAATAACGGAGTTATTTTACTTTGAAAATTTCCAAAAAAAAATTTATTTTGCTAAAATTTTGAGAACCACTGGATCTTTTCAGGATTTTATTTCTTGTAAATTTAATCTAATACCTATGTTGCCATGTTATCAAGAGATTATGTTTTTTAATTAGAAACAAAAAAAAAATCCAATTTTCAATTTTTTTTTTCGCGAAAAAGAACTCATAGGCGTGTTTCTGGTGTTGAACTATACTACCAGTTAAAACACTTGCACTTATTTCTGGGACACCCTGTGTACAGGGTGGTCCAAACTGTATTCCGGAAACTTCGGCAGCATATTTTGTAGATAAAAATAAGTAAAAAAGTTCGTATAAATGTATGTTTTAAGTTTTGGAGATACAGGGTGTAGAAATTTAATTTTTATTTCAATTTTTTCCAAATAATTTCTGAAGTAACGTCAATATTTGGATGTAAATTGGTGTCTGGAAATTTTTTTTGACATGAGAAATTTAATTTTGATGTCAATATTACTCCTATTTGTAGGGGCGCCATTTGTTTTAACTGTTTTGAAGAGTAATAACTTTCGCGTCCGTACCTGTATAAAACCACCGAGTGAAAAAATATACATTTCCGTAATTTTTTTCTAAGTCGCTACAAATAACCGTTCTCAAGATATTTAGAATGCAAGTAGTCAATACGTGTCATTATTGACAAAAAAGAAACATGTTGAGTAGATAGTTATTTGACTGAAACGACAAATTTGAGAAATGTTTATTTTTTTATATTAATCATACATTTTTCTTCGAATAAATTACGATATATACGTGTAGTTTCTGTTGAACTTTTGACACAACATGATTTCAAATTTATAATTTTGGTCTAATAACTATTTAGTTAACAAGTTTAATTTATGTCAATGTTGACAGGTATTGATAATATCGATTCCAAATATCTCGAGAATCATTACTCGTAGCAATTTTTACCAAGAGACATTTTTTACGTAAGAGACGTCGTAAATGTATATTTTTTACTCATTAGTTTTATACAGGTACGGACGAAAAGTTATCACTCTTCAAATCATCTAAAAAATAAGTGGGTGGCGCATGGCGCCCTCTACAAGTAGGAGTCATACTGACATCATGATCAAATTTCTCATGTCAAAAAAGTCCCAGACAACAATTTTCATCCAAATATTAACGTTACTTCAGAAATTATTTGGAAAAAATCAATCGAAATAAAATTAAAACTTTTACACCTGTATCTTCAAAACTAAGCATTTTAGGACATAATTTATAGGAACTTTTTATTTATTTTATCTGCATAATATGCTGCCGAAGTTTCCGAAATAGAGTTCCGAACCAACCTGTATAATTAGATTTTCTTTCTCCTAGAGAATATCATTTTTTTATTAATGAATCTATAAAAAAATCGTATAAAAGAAAAAATCTATTGAATGTTTTTTTCATAAAATATTTTTTGGTGATTTTTAAATGTATTATCATATAATAACGGTTCACTCTGTATCGGAGGACCTATTGTTCCTGTTTTAAATTGTGAAACTTTTGTTACAGGATTAAAATTTCCGTTGCTAGGAAGGACGAAATCCTAAATGAGCTGCAAATAGAGCACAAAGCGTTACAAGAAAAATGCATTTATTTAGAAAATATGCTGGAGCAACAAAGAAAGGAATACTTAGTGAAATAGAATTTTAAAATACTGAATAATTTAAGCAACTTCCACTGAAATACTAGATAAGTTAATTAAGAGATTAATATAAGGTATTTTTACATATTTTTCTACTTTTCTACTTTTATTTATATATTTATTGTGTCTGTGTGTTAGTATATTTAACTATAGAAACCATTCAGTTTGGGACAGCCTAATATTTTGGGATAAATAAATTTTTAATTAAATCATTTGTATTTTAGTTTTTCATATATTTCGATGACCATTTTTTATACGACAGGGTGTCCTAATATTCCGTGGACATTGAACTACTACGTTATTTTTGGAATCAAAATACGTTCATTGGACACAATTTACCTCTATACAAAAGTGCTTCGTTTGTCTGTTAGAGGGCATCAAACTTTAAAAAAATAAACGCATTTTTTCAGATATTTTAAGAACCGTTATTGCTATGAATGAAATTTTGGGTGTCTATGTTTTGCTAAGTGCTTTAAAATGGCTTTCAAGAAAATGAAGAAACAATACGGATAGGGTCAAAACTACCCCTATCCCTATATAAAAAAGTCTCTTGTAAAAAACGTCACCGCGCACACTGTAGCGTTTTTATTTCTTATCTAATAAAATTAAATTTAAATATTTAGATTTTTATTATTTTTTTCTAACGCCATCTATTCGCTACATGTCGAACTTGCCAAACTTCATATATTACAGTTATTACAGTTCTATGGAGTGTAGAGGTAAGGAGAAATAACTCCGTGCATTAAAAAATGGTCAAAAAAAGGGAAGAATTAGGATGGCGCTGCTGTAGCAAGATCCTAAAATTTAAGACATGCGCCGAACATTTTAGAACAGATGATTCAAGACATAAATACATCATAAATATTTGACGTGACGTGAATCAAACGCGAAGCCGCGGGTTTAAAAAAATACAATTTTATTTTCATGTTGCATGAAATAAATTACAGATTGGTATTCAGCAGCAATAGACTAGGTCCTTTTTTCATTGTTTCTCCTAAGTTATTTCGCAAATGTCATTCAAGACGACGAAAAAATATTCTTATCGTTTTAGCTTAAAATTAATGGTAATTATAATTAAGAAAAATTTTATTTAAAGTAATAATTGGTGATGGGTTTAAAATAAATATAATGCAGCTTTAAAATAACTTCATACCTACATTTATTTAGTATAAAAGTAAGTCAATATGTGGTTTTATTATCGATTACTCAGATATCAGAGCCTCTTTTTATTGTTTCTCATAAGTTATTTCGTAAATCTCATTCAAGATGAAAAAGCTTTAGTTTAAAATTAATGTTAATTATAATTAGGAAAACTTTATTAAAAGTTTAATTGATGATATGGGATTTAAATAAATATAATGCAGGTCAAAAATAACGTAACACATGATATTTAGTATAAAAATTAAGCCAATATAATATAATTTTATACTGTAGAAGTATTTATTTACATTTTGCCATCGTAGTTGCCATTCATTCAGAATAGTGGATTTTAAATGTTCGATAGACGGATGGCTTAACTACCTTCATATCAACTACTTCTAGACAAGAATCGTGTGCAGTATTATCTTCTTTTTCACTCCCAGCTATTCCAACATGGCTTGGGACATGAAATAATAATATAATTTTATAGCCCTTCCAGATGCTCATGTCTTCCTTGTAGTTCACCCAATAGAATCGTTCTCGCTGCTTCCTCCCAAGTTGGTAGTTGCTATTCATTCAGAATAGTGGATTTTAAATATATTTGGTAGTTGGATGGTTTAACTATCTTAACAATAACTACTTTTAATAATTCTTTTTCTCAATTCTTTTCACTATAATTTGCATCCCACGTATTGTAATATTTTCCTTTGAATTTCGTTTCCTATTGTTTCATGGCTTGAGACGTAATAAGACGTAATGTAATAGCCCTTCCAGATCCTCATGTATATGTCCATTTTCCTTGTAGTCCACCCAATAGAACCTTTCTCTTAGCTTCCTCTCAAGTTGGTAGTTGCTATTCATTAAGAATAGTGGATTTTAAACATGTTTTGTACTCAGATGGTTTAACTACTGTAACATCATAAATAAATTGTGACCAACACATAATGGCCAAACTTCAACAGACTTTAATATTCATAAACCTCATCAGAAGAAAATATTTTTTGATCCAAAGTTTTTTTTTCGTTATTAGAATAAATTACCTGCAGTTTGTTAATTCATTACAACATTGAATAAAAGATGCAAAGTGTTTATACATACTATAACAGATAAATCTTCATTTAAAATTATGTGATAGATCTGCTTGCTTGTAGGATCTAGACTCATAAACTCAATAATTTCTTTTATTGATAAAGTGGTAATAAAGTGGTAATGCTGAAATTTTGTTTTTGATTTGAGCAGTAGGCTCCATTATTTGATGCTGTTATTGCTCTACAAAATGTTGATCTTTATCAAGGGATGTTTATGTGTATAATATTATTTATGTGTATAATAATATTGTATGATCGAAAAAACACGGCGTCCAGTTGGCTTGGAAACGAACATCTCGATGACATTCTCCATATCATTTTACATAAAAAATGACAGCAATCTTCATTTCATAGGCATCACTGACGCCGTTTTTTATTCGATCAAATTGTACTTACGTGTAACATTCATTTAATGGTTCCTGTTTTAGTTGCTGGTGTTCATATTTTGGTTTTTTATTGTGTTGTTGCTCTACAAAATGTTAATATTTATGTGTATAATATTACTCTTTCTGTGTATAATAATACTTATGTGTATAATATTCATTTAATGGTGCCCTTCTTGCTTGTTGCCGTTGTCGCGACTCAGAATTTAAATTAACCTGAGGCAGTAGGTAGAGCCACAGATTAGGTAGCCTATAAGTATACAGATAAAAATCTTGTCCCTAATTCGTGGTACGAAAATTGTTTTTTATGACGATGTGCAAACGAGTCAAATTTCCTGTGCGCAAAAATAAGCTCGCGTAAAATAACAATAAACAGCGTAATAGAGAGATATCGCTAAACCGAATAGCGTGCATGGACGTTAACAAGGCCAGGTGTTATTTCCTTTACATGGGGTGGTATTAACTCGTTTCATTTATAGTTATTGGATCGGAAAATATTCTGTTCGCGTCGCGTCTGCTATTTAAACTTAACCTAACGTTGAATTTAAAACTTTGAAATTGTTTTGTTTACTAGGTATTTTAAAACTAAAGGGCTAAATGGCTTATTTCCAGTGCTTTATTGTTCAACGTCTGCCAGTGGGTTTAGGGCAACAAGCAACAAATTCTCTTAGAAGGGCTAAGTCGTCATCTGCTGTAAACCTAAGACTCTTTATAGGTTCTTTAGTATTGGAAGAGGTGGAATCCATATTTGGGGCCATATTTATTTAATTAAAAATAATCCCAGCTACTTAAATATCAAATTACCTACCTAATAAAACTAAAGCAATAATTCAAAACAATTCAAACATAACCTAAAATAAAAGATCTCGCCGGCCGGCTCCGGTTGTCGAATACCCGCACATGCCCATTTAAGCAATTTTTAAACGTTATCAGAGGTTATTTAGAAAGAGCGCTTGGTGTAATTGATCCGCAAATTACGTCAGGCGGTAACGTTATTAGCGGGTGTTGCGTTAAATATTGACTCGCGCATATCGTAATTATAACTAATGATAAGGTACGCGTAAATACTGGATGACGCTATTCGGTTTTCCGATATCTCTCTAATAACTGTGCTGGTCAGGCGCTGTGCACAATTTTAGAGGCCATAAGTGGGCGTGCTATGTGCGCAAACTAGTCACCTAACTAGTGCCCGATTTCGAAAATTGGAACCACGAAAAACAATAAAGAAAAAACAAAGATGATAATCTGTATAATCTCTGGTAGAGCCAAGTAGAGTTCATCCTCCAATATTTTCCTATGTAAATACTATGGTAAATACTGAAGTGGACAGTATTTCTGATAACAATTTTATCACAAACTTTAACATCTTGTTCTTTAAAATGAAACTGCCATACCTTATCTGTAGATTTCAAAGCAATATCTAAATGCTTTTGACCATCACTGTAATCTAATTCTTGTCTGAAAATCAATACCTAATATTATCCTGATGATTTTGATTTTTGATAGATTATTAAAATACAGCACTTACAGTTAACTATATTTCTTGAAAGTACCTACAATTTTATGTATTTCCTACTTTTACTTGTTTAAAAAAATGCCAACAATTTGTGCATGTCTGTCAAACTTTAAAATCATTAAAAATAAATTTTATTTAGGTTGTAACTTTATAAAAAGGATTGTAAAAATATACTTTGTAACATGTATGTCAATAATCTTACCAAAAATGTTTACAACACTTTTGATTGACTCTAATTTTTACATATAATACAATACTGAATTATATTATGTATTTTACATACCGTAGGCTTTGCGTTTGCTCTTAATTTTTCCATCAGCTATTCAATCAACTTCGCACCACACACACTTTAACCATTGTTAAATAATAAATAAATAAATAAAGCACAAAATATTGATAAACAATAATTATTTTATATTCAAAAACTCTGTCTGAAAAATAAAAACAAACGCCATTTTGCATCGTCATAAGTAACTAAATTTTATTTCAGTTATTCTCGTTTTTTGATTTGTTTTGATAAGGTTTTGATTAATATTTAATTACTGGTTTGGATCAGCATATGGTTTGAATATATTTTGGTTTATGTAAAGCTGAATTTCAGACCGTAAATTATTTTTTGTGTTAAGCGTCTGTTTTGAGAACTATCTCTTTTACTTATAGAGTAATTATATGGATTTAAGTAATTATATGAATCTGAGTAAATGTATGATACATAGTAGTATAGTATATGGAACACAGTAATTGTATGCCGCTTAAATTTCACCCACTTTCATTTTGTATGCACCTCCGTAGACCTTAAGACAGCATTCATGACCTTACGTTTGTTCTTCTACTGATATCGAAGACTTCTGCTGCCATAGTCATCTGCTTCCACTTCTGTTAGTCTGGAGACTACCTATCTATCTGTTTACAACATCATAAGAAACTATACAGATAAGTCCGATACACAAGGTAC